CCACGAGCTGGAACCTAAGACTTCACAAGTCTTTGCCTGTTTCTCACCCTATTCCTGCTCGTTCTTCCAGAGTAACTGTTCTGCACCCTTCCCAAACCTCTCTAGCACACACTGGACTTAAAATAGCCAACTAAATATTTTTAAATTGTTGCTCAATGTCTGTGACAGTAGACTAGCTTTTGAGTTCTGTGAGGTGGTGACGTCATCTGATTTACTCATGCCATATCCTCAAGCCTAGCGCATGGAGGTAGACCGTCTTCACAGGGACTTCACCCCAAATTAATGAAGATTGAGGCTGTTCAGCTTTATACATCTCAGAGATGCCCCTTCCCTGAGCAGTTCTTTCTATCTTCATCCACCTCACTTTCTTTCTTTCTACTTTTGACTTTAAAGAAGACAAGTTCTCCTCCTTCTTCTCGGTCCCCCTCCTTGTCTAGGATTTGCCCTCCCCAGATATATTCTTTTGATTCCTTCATCTTTCTCTTCCCTTGCTCTTTTCCTTCTGCCTGCAAATACGTCTGAAAAGATCTTGCTTTGGCGTCATATGGACCTGGTAGTGAAACTTGGCTCCTCTTGCCAGCTGTGGAACTGGGACACGTCTTCGACTTCTGTAGGTAAGACTTAATGTCTTCATTTGGAAAACCAGAGTGCTACTATCTATGGATCAGCATTGTTGTGAAGATAAATTGAGCTGGTGTTTGCAAAATCCCCAGCAAAAAGTATGGCATATAGTAAATAAATAAAATTTCCTGCCCCAAATCCTAAATAAATACATAAAAATAAAACCCTCCATCCCTAGGTCCCACCACCTTCTCCAGCTAAAACCAGGCAGGAACTCCTTCATTTTCCTGCACCCAAACTAGAAACTTCCCTGTATCAACATGTAGCCCTTTCTCTTCCTCTCCGTCATAATTCTCTTCTCAGGCTTATTTCTGTACTTTCTGAGGGGCAACATTTGATTAATTAAACTCTTTCTTTCCTTTAATTTCAACTCCTTCTAGTCGACCAGTCTTTCCTGATTAGATCAGCTTTCAAACACACTCAAGATCATCTTACAAAAGAACAAAACAAAACACAAACACACACAACAACAACAACAACAAAACCAGAAAACCCCAAAACCTTCTTTCCTGACTTCCTGTTTCCTTCCAGTTATGCTGTCTGATCTCTCTCCTCCCCATGTTGCCAGAAACATCTAAATGGACTGTTTCTGCTTCCTTTCCTCTTATTCACCCCCACGTGCACCCCTGTGCCCAGGGCCCCCATCACACCACTAGAGCCTCAGCTGCCCATGGTTGCTGAACCTTATCACCAAATCCAACAACTGTGTCTCAGACCATAGCTCGCTTGACCTCTGGGCAGCACTGGACACACGGCTGTTTCCTCCTTCCTGAAACCTTCGCTTCCCTGGCCTTTTGCAGTCCTGTGTTATCCTTCTGTCTCTCTGGCTCTTTCACGGACCTCTTAATGTGTCTTATAAGTAGGCTCGATCATTGTTTACACTAGTCTTCCTGAACTCTTTCTAACGACTCAGACATTCTTAATGACCGGCCTTCCCGGTGTGGCTCTCCCTTCCCATGATTCTCTTCTCTGTCCCCCCCCCCCCCCCCCGCCCGTCCCTTCTTTCACAAAGCTTCCTGCTGCTCCACTTCACCTCCCAGCTGATAAGCTTCTCTCCCTCCTGCAAGTCTTCCCTCCCGTCCTTAGATCTGGCTCAGGCTTCCCCGCTGGGTGCTTTCACAGCAACCCGTGCTTCCCCTGCCGTCCCACTTATCACGTACACCATAACTACCAAATTATGTTTTCTTGGCTCAAATGGCCCTTTCACTGCAAGTTCTGAGGGCTTCGTTGTGCCTGTTTCTAGCACATCTCCCAGAATGCCTGGGTCCCCTAATGGGTGTGTGAATGAGTGAATGAATGAACAGAGGTGGCGTCATGGCTATGTTGGGTTGGGAGTTTGTATACATTGTATTTTTAATGCTACACAGTCTTACCTGTGCTAACTCTGTCAAGCCTGTTCTCCAAGCATCCGCTTCTTCCCCTGCAAGACTGGGAGAAGTACAGCGACATTCCTGAGAGTGCTAGCAGGTGTTCTCTCTTTTTCAATCCTCACAAAGGCCCAACAAAGCGGAGACTTTGATGATGGGAGATCATGTCTGTCTCTTGTTTTACATGGGGTTGGAGAGTTGCCCTAGCGGTGTTATCGTCGCCAGCACCATCAGGGGAGGCAGAAAGGTAGTTTTCTTGATCTGTAACTGGAGTCAGGTTGCTCACAAAGTGCCTGTTTCTGCTCGATGAAAACAACACAAAAATCTGACACAAGCAACAAACTTCAGCTTTGCCATTCGGAGTATTTGCTTTCTTCAGGAGAGAGGACGTCCTGCCAAGTTACTCTTCCAAGCCACTTTGAATTTACTCTTTTCGATAAATGCACAGTGTTTTCGGGTTCTCCCCCTGCCCTTCCCACAGGAGAAGGCTCTTGGCCTGTGGTCCTCATGTCCTCCCTGCATTCACTGATCGCATCCACGGCTCTTGTCATGTGTGAACCGGTCACTGCTCAGAGACTGCCTTGCTGGACCAGCTCTGCATTGGCTCTCGTGGGCACGAGTCTCCTTGGAGCTTGCACAGCTTTGGGTGGTGTTCCGTCCAGCCTCTGCCCTGTGGCCTCTGCTACAGGGGCCCCTTCTGCAGGCAATGGCAATCTCCTGGCAGGCAGGCGAGCTCTCAGATCTGAGTTCCTCAGAGCCTGTGGAAACTTCTGGAGTCCATCTGTAAGAACTTGGAGGAGAGAGGTATGGCAAAAAAGAGCATCCACAGGGCATTTTTATGGGCAGATTTTTATGACCTGTTTTCTGATGTATTTGTATATTAGCAGTTAAAAAAAAAAAAAGAAATCGTTAAAACTGAGTGAATGATTCCCCGGTCGTCTCTCTGCCTAATCATTGCCATGTTAGTGTCTCACGCTCTCTTCGATTCCCATTTTATCTTGGGTTTCTACTCCCTCCTCTCAGGGTTTTAAACCCAAGGTTGGAATGAGGGTACGTGGGGTCCTGAGCCAACCTCTCCTATGGGTCCGACCTGTGCTACTCTCCTCTTCCTTCCCTGGCACAGGAGCGATTTTATTTCCATCCTGCCTGATGGGAAACAACCTCACATCATGTTCTGCCTTCTCCATACTCCTTACCTTAGAGAACTATATGTCTTGTCTCAAAGTGATCATATGTCCTTGTTTTTGTCTGTGGTGAGCATGGTTTATGCTCCTTGTCTCTGTGTAATTAATAGGCATGCCCCCCTTCACTCTCAACAATGTACTGGCTTGGAGGGTAAACTTCATGGCTACCCTACTTATGTTAAAGACTTTAAACTCAGGCCTCCAAACTGAGATTTCTTTTCAATTTAAAGTTTAACTTTGGGAATTCCATCAAAACCCTTTTCTCTCAAGTTCCTGGCTCTTGCAACTAAGAGTCTTGGTTTTTTGTGACGATTGTTCCAGTGTAGAGCACTACCACATCTATTTTGAAAGACAAAGATACCCAATGACTTTTTTTTTTTTAAAGATTTTACTTATTTATTTGACAGAGAGAGACACAGCGAGAGAGGGAACACAAGCAGGAGAGAGTGGGAGGGGGGGAAGCAGTCTTCCTGCCGAGCAGGGAGCCCGATGCAATGAGGGGCTTGATGGGGGGCTCGATCCCAGGACTCTGGGATCATGACCTGAGCTGAAGGCAGACACTTAATGACTGAGCCACCCAGGCGCCCCCCTCCCCATGACTTTCTAATTAGAAATGAAACTGGTTCACAAAGGTAAAGACAAACATTTAAATATGTTGATAGCGGGAGGCACCACGAATCCCTCCCTGGGTCGATCCTGGGCAGCTCGTTGTCCTGGGTCACACCTGTGGGCCTCGGATGCCCAGGTGATCCCCTCACTCAGAATTTAGAACTGTTGACATATTGTCCTCTTAACAAGTTTCAGAAAAGAAAAAATAAAACAAAACAAACAACAACATTCTTGACAGAGTCATTTTTAACCAATGCAGTAACTTCCTTCTAGGCTGTGTCTGCCATCCCCTGAGGACAGTCTGTAGAAAGAAATAGCTCTTATTTGAGTAGAGGAGAATGTGTTGAGGGTTAAGACAATTTAAAACCTATATTTTAATATAAAAACATTAGCTGAAGGTATAGGCTATTAATGGATGTTGTTTTCCAAATCTACGTGGTAACCCTGCTCACCTTATTCTGATTGGAAACTCTCCTTGGCAATATGCATGACATGGATTAAAAAAAAAATGAAAAAGATGTGTTCATTGTTAAATCATTTGGGAGGAAAATTATAATTAATCTAAATTAAAACATGTAATTTGATAAGCAAGATCTTTTAAAACAAAGTATCCAGAGGCTAAACCATTAAAACACAGCACCTCAAAAGTTTTTTAGAAGAGGCTACGAACCCTGTGAAGGTAACAGAATGGCTTTAGTGACTGAATTTCAGTGTGTACTTTCAGGCCTTCTTCTGGTAGTAGTGAAGGATTTGTCCTGAGGCATTCACCCCCTCCTGTAGTTTGTCTTATAACAGGTTGTTTTTATCAGGGTGGTTAACGTGGATTAGGGTAGGGAATGCATTACAAATATTACTTTGGCCTAATTAGAAACACAGGTTCACCAGTGGACTCAGGGGACAGAGGACTCTGCATTAAAGGACAGGCCGTGACCACCAAAGGTTGATGAAGAGTGACCAGGGCCTCCTATAGTCATTATTACTATGGCTTCCTCAACATTTCTCCCTCCTATCACTGCAATCCTTGAGCCCCAAGTAGAGCTTGTCTCCAAGGGTACCTGTGTGTTTAAGAGGTAGGGTCTTCAAGCAGACGTGGGGCAGTGGGGCTTGGACAGTCAGGGCTGGTCTCACATTATGGCTGCCTTTCTCTCTTGCTTCTGCAGTTCATGAGCTTAAGCCCCTTCCTATCTGTCTTCCTTTCCCCCTCCCTCCACATCCACAGATGGGGTGGCTGCGTTCCGCGCCTTCTTGAAGACAGAGTTCAGCGAGGAGAACCTGGAATTCTGGCTGGCCTGTGAGGAGTTCAAGAAGACCAGGTCAACTGCAAAGCTGGTCTCCAAGGCCCATAGGATCTTTGAGGAGTTTGTGGATGTGCAGGCTCCGAGGGAGGTGTGTTGGTGGTGGCAAGAGTCTTCTATCCATGGCTCCTGGCCATCCATTGTGCTCCTTGTGTGGGTTTGAGCCAGTCTTGATGAGTACTGTCTTCTAAACTGAGCCTTACCTCTCTGATGGCTCTTAATGGAGGGGAAAAAAAGGATCACTTTAAAGGTGCAAAGCCTGGGACTTCTAAAAAATAGTTCTGCAAGGGAGTGTTTTAGCTGTCAAGCACGCGCCTGTAGGACCTGTGTTTCTATAGGGATTCTGCAAGGATAGATGCCGTTGAATCCATGTTAGTTTCCTGGTGGAAGGCAGCAAGCCTTAGTGGGAGGAGCACCACTTGTTCCCAGCTGTGTGATCTTGGCCAAGTTAGCTAGTCTGTCTGAATCACATTTTCCCCAGTGTAGAAGTGTATAATACCCCGTATCATTCAAGACTACTCTGAGTATTAGGGATAAAGCACCTAGTCAACATTTGTCACTGCTCCTTAATGAGTAATTACAGTCATTTCTATTATCTTATGATAACTTATTATAATAATAAAATGAATTTCTATGTATGGCTGCACTGAGTTATAAAACAGAATTTTACTTGGGAAGGTTTTATAGAGGAAAAATATTTGCTATCTATGAGTTTCGGTGCATTATATCCCTGAAACTCTTCAATTATCCTTTGACTTGAGATGTAGGAGGACTTTGGCCAGTGGCCAGGACATTGTAGGCTCCTTATAATACTGCTTGGAACAGAGATGTCCATTATAACCATAGTCTCTCCTCTCGGGGCATTGTTTCCTTAGTAGTTAAGAAAGAACAAGAGGGCAAGCTTACTTTAGGGAATCCACATTAATACTTGCCTTCAGTGTTACCCTTTGCCTGGCATGGTGAAGACTCCTGGCTTAGGAATTAAGTGATTTGGGGTTTTGCCTTGACTCTGTTACCAACTCTCTATAGTACTTTAACCAGCTTTTCAGTATCTCCTTTCTTCAGTGTCCTTATCTGTAAATTGGGATGAGGAATATTGGGTCTTCAGACCTCTCAGGATTCTTGCTGGGATCGAAGGGGATGACCTCTAAGAAAAGAGTTTGAAAAGAATGAATAAGCTTACATGTGTAAGACACTGTCATTAATAATTATTGCACAGCTAGGAGCAGCTGCCAGGCATCTTGGCCCTTGAGGGCCTGTGACCATGCTTTCTGTTTGTGTCTCCAGGTAAACATAGACTTCCAGACCCGAGAAGCCACGAGGAAGAACATGCAAGAGCCATCCCTGACTTGCTTTGATCAAGCCCAGGGAAAAGTACACAGCCTCATGGAGAAAGACTCTTATCCCAGGTTCCTGAGGTCCAAAATGTACTTAGATTTGCTGTCCCAAAGCCAGAGGAGGCTCAGTTAGACCTCATATGGGGACTCTTGGAGATCACTGGCTTTTCCCCTCCCTTTGCTGCCAAGACCATATTCTAACATGAAATCTCATAGGTGTTCAAAAAGCAATGGCACTTAGGTTGGGAGCCTGGGGATGAGAAGTGGATGAAAGGCCATTCCAAAGTAAGATCCAGTCACCAGAGCTTGGACTCTATTCCATTTACCCATGTTTGTGTTTCGGTTAGTGGTAGCACCTTGCTGCTGTTACCTTTTTATTGGGTCAGCAAATTGCCCTCCATAATGCCTTGGGTCATTGCCGCTGAGAAGGCAGATTTGCTATGCTGGGCTATGTGTAAATAATGCAAATGCAATTTTCACCACTTCCACACCCTCCTCAGTTAGGATTCCTGACTCTAACTTGTACCATACCCCTGTGAGGAAGAGCTTAAAGACTCTGGCTCATGTTTGTGATTTGCTGTCACAATGTAACGGCCAGTCCTGGGTGCTGGGACCTCACAATGGAGAGAGGTCTCTGGGGAATCCCAGGTTTCTAGCACTGTCATTAACAGGTGGCCTTGGGAGAAGAGGCAAACTCCATGGCTATTTCTTCCATTTCCATTGGACCAGTATGAGAAGCTGTGATCACTGCCCATCTTAGCCTAGGAAATTCACAAGACTTTTTCACCCTCGCAATTCCAGGGAGGGGCTTGGGAGATGTCTTTCATGAGTTCTGGTGTGGAGCTGCTTTTAAGAAGGATACAGCTTGCAAATCTTCTTCAATTCTACCAAGAAGTATTCCAGAAGTCAAATGACCAGGGAACATAGCACCAGTAGACTTTTGTGCAATGGGGCACCATATATCCTTTCCGTTGCTTACTGTATTCTCTGCCCTCACCTCCCTGAAGCATCACACATCATGATCTCTTTGACAGACAGCTTGACAAAGGGAGGTGAATTCCCATAGCATGGACAGCTTTCATGGTGCCTAATACTTTCCTTGTCTCTCCCTGTCCCCCCTTCCATGCAGGTCATGTAATTATGATGGGGGAGAATGGGAATTTAGGCTGTAACTCTCCAGCTTGCTTCCTGGGAGCATGCTTTCTTAGAAAGGTCTCTCTCATGAGGGCCACCTTGGCTAATCAGCAACTTCCTACTTGATCTCTGACCTTTTGGGATTGAACATGGAACAGGAGGTGAGGCTAAGATCACTGTGAACATCTGGCTGTGGAGAATCTTCCTAAAATGCTTTCACGGTACCCTGAGGCTGCTTTTGGAACTGTGTCAGGAAACTCTTCCTTGGAGGACGAGCATAAAGCTCTAGCTGACTGAGAAAAAGTGGACTTTGGCACAAGTCTGTAATGCCCAAGATGTGACTCCTTAGCAGAGAGACCAGAAAGTGGAAGAGGAGTCTAGAAGAGGTCAGTCTCCAGCTGGACCAAATCACGGAGAATATGGTGGAGGTACTATTGGGATAATTCACAGCCAATGGATTTGGATTCATTGCAGATCTCCAAAACTTTCAGCTTGACTAAATGAAAGAACTCTGATTAGGCACAAGCTCTGGAGTTCCGGTGACTGAGAACTGGGTTGAAGCATTCTCTCCGTGTGGGGCGATGGGCCTCTTTAGATGCAGCAGATTCCAGCATTTGCATTCCTTTCCAGACACTCTGTGAAACTCTTTCTTCTTTGGCTGCAGCTAGACAAGGCCAAGGAGGCTCTTGAGTTGACTGGTTTTAGGGTCCATTGCCCTGCCATGACACATTGTATCTGTAAGTGAGGGTTGGCGAGTCTCTCTGAACCACCAAGGAGAGCAAGAACACATGCCACCTGGCCCTCACACTGAAGCATCCTGTGAAATCTCATGTTCCAGAACTCTGAAGCCTCGAACGGGTGTTCCTAGTTAGATCAAGTAGTGTCCCCCTGCCCCCACTGGTAAAAAACCATTCTTAGCTAAAGCTGCCAGAATTAATTTAATGATCGAATTCTTGAACAGGGTATTTTAAACATTGTTTACACATGAAATGTGCAACTTCTGCCAACTCTACTGTTGAATATGAGCTGCACGTAAGTCAGAACAGCACAGAGTTCCCGAAAAATGGAATGTCTAAGAGGGGCCTTTTTACCGCTTCCACTGTCCCCAGAAGTCTGCACAAGAGTGTTGGGCCGTGGCCTCCCCTGAGGCCTGGAGTTTTTGCCAATGGAATGAAGGCTGCAGATGGCGATGTCATGGCGCCCGGTGACTCCCCCCCAACGATGGGGAGGCGTGAAGGACCAAGCTAGGGTGTCCTGATTTTGCCGCTATGGGAGGGTATGTGGGCGTGTGTCTGTGTGTAGAGGAATGCGATAGCTCTATTTATGGTACTCCCGTGGAGTGTCTGCGTGCGTGCGTGCTTATGTGACCACTGTGAGCGTGAGTCTAGTACCCCACAGAGATGGTCTTCCCATGCGGTGGAGCTGTCCTCACACCCTTTCTGTCCTGCTCTCTGCTCTCTGCTCCGATGCCTAAGTTCAGGCACTTAGGTCATGCCAACCCAGATTTTGGTCTGTGATGAAACAAAGAAAAATGTTTACAACATCTAGAGCAATATCAAAGCATACCTCATCCCTGACCTTCCATGTCTCCCCGTCCTACCCTCTCTCCTAGTTCCTCTTCCATGGGCCCTTGTCTGCCCCACTAGGTGGGCATTTGCAGGGGCCCCTTCCATGTAAGGTCTTCCTTTGGTCCTCATGCCGGGCTCATGCTGTGGACTGCCTTCTGGGCTCAAGGCTTGCTCTGGGCCTGGGCACTTTGAAGACCCAGGGCAAGCCAGGGCAGGAGGCCAGGCAGAGCGGTGGATTTTAGGACTGCTCTCCACCCCGCAAGTGGCTTTTCGGCCCCACTTGAGTGTCAGCCTGTTTTTAAGCTAGTGTGAGATTACCTGTTGCCTTGGGCAAACCAAATAGAACCTAATCTATGACAACCCTTCGTAGTCCCAGGGTGCCTGTGGGGTAAGGACGCCCAGCATCCTCGGAGTGTGCCCAGGGCTTACTGGGAAAGCCTGTTACAAGTGCTAATTCTCAGGACGCACACCCAGAGATGCTGATCCAAAAGACTCGGCGGGGGGGGGCATCCAGAAAACTGCAGTTTTAGTAAGTTCCCACGCAGTAGGCTTGGGAAAAAGATGGTCTAAGACAGTGGCTCGCAGCCCTGGCTGCTCCTTGGAATCCCCTGGCGACTTTTCAGACCTAAATGTCCAGGTCCCACCCCAGAACATCTTGGGGATGGGACCCAAGGCAACAGTTGTTTGTTTAAAGCGACTCGGGTGATTCCGTGTGGATGAGGTCAGGAAGCACCGGCCTGGGGAGTGAGGAGGAGCACGGCTGAGATTAACGGGGGGCTAGGCCTAGAGGGTAGAGCGCACGCAGAGGCAAACAGGCACAATAACGGGGAACCTGCCAGCCTTGAGTCAGACTCTGGGGGGCTGCACCCTGTGCTGTCTCAGTCCGACGTGCTCCTTTGAGATAAAAATGTTTCTGCCCCAGCTGCATGGGGCGTGAGGCAGCGAGCCGGTCGGCTGATGACAGGGAGCTCTGGAGGGTGTCTGGAGGGTGTCTGATTCAGAGAGGTTTTGCCACGCAGCCAGCCGAGTCTCTCATTCGTAGTGCTTCCTCCAAGCTCGCCTCCTGGGCCTCTCCATCCTTCGTGAGTGTTCATGCCCTCTGGTCACTAGCCTTAGGTTGTGCCTCTGTGTCCAAGGCCACGCGACAGGGTAGTTGGAACTCAGGCAGTGGGCGAAGGGTGTCCCATCCTGGGACTGTCATGCCCTTTGGGGCTTTCTTTTCCAAGGCCACGGTGGGGTTTCAGTTCCTGCGCTAAGCCCTCACGATTCCCTCTTCGGTCTCAGGCTGGATGGGCAGCTGGAAGGTTCCCAGTGGATTTTCTTCTTTGGTGCTCGCCCCAGAACTTGCTGCTCTGAGCAAACCAAAGCTGTGAAATGGTGTTCTGCCCAGGCAGCTGGCCCAGCCTCTGGGTAGGGAGAGGGCCTGGGTTCTTTTCCTTGGCAGGGCCAGGGTGGCCCCATCCCCCGGGGCCCTGGACTGTGAGGGAAAGGCATGAACCCATTGTGTCAAGAGGGTAGGAGTGGGGAAGACTGAAGAGGAAAGAACAGGATGGGAAAGACAAGCGGCTGACGTGGCGTCCGCTTCTCCACGAAGCAGAAGGGACAGTGAAAAGCGGCACGTTCAGGGGCAAGACGGCCCCCATCGACATGAGTGCCCAGAGCTCTCCTGACCCTGTGTGTGCCTACTCCCAAGCCAAGCAGAGGAATTCCACGTTCCATCTGACGCTGTCCTGCAGTCGGCCGAGGGTCACTCTCTTTAAGTAGGTGTCTCTCCGGGTTAGAAGCAAGGGAGGCAGAGAGCCACCCCTGCCTCTGAGAACCTGTGCCACTTGGCATGAGATTGTGGAGGAAGCAGCTGAGAGCAGCCATGTCTTCCAGTCCCCCTGGCCTCTCGGGACCCCACAGGATGCTGCCGGCCGGGATGGGAGACTGCAGGACGGGGCCGCCAGCCTTCCCAGGCGTGAGGTCCAGGCCGACTCTGCACCGTGCCCTTGTTGGTGGTTCCTCCCTTCGGACCCTTCTGCTGCCGTCCCTCTGCCGCGTGCAGGGAGAGGCGGCCGCGTGGCCGGGTCACACGGCGTGCACGGGAGATGCGTGGCAGCTCGCCTGCCGTAAGAACCGCTTGGCTGATGGAGTCCTCATTGAGTTGTTTCATTCCTGTGCAAAGTGGAATCCTGTCATTCACCTTGACTATACACCAGGCTGTGAGAACATAATAAACAGAGAGCCTGAACACGCGGCCCTCCTCTCTCTGCCCACACTTCTGGCCCGCTGGTTCTTTGTGACGAGACAATCCACCTGACACGTGGACTCCCCGCCTGGGTTGGGGGGTGGGGGTGGCGGCCGGCATGGGGCTGCCCGGCGGGGGAAGCAGCCACCTGGGTGGAACTGGGGTGGCAATGGTTTGGGGTCGTGTGGGGGTGGAGGGTGACTTGGGGCCCACGAGGCTGGCCCTGGAACGGTAAAGTACCGTGCAAACACGAGATGGTGTTTTTATTAGCACCACCTACTGCTTGACATGCAGGGACAGAAAAGGCGGAGGGATGGTTTATGTGTTTGTTCATCTGGAGCCGTCTGAAAGCGGAGTGGGCTGCTCTTGCTTCTAACGGCACTTGGCTTTCTACATCAGCGTGTCCCCGAGGAGTGTGCTTTAGTCATCAAGCCTTTGCGTGTCTCTGGTGATCGGGTCCCGTGGAGAGGACTGGAGGAGAATGAGGTGTAGTGTCTGCTTGTCAGGCTCATCTGTCAGGTGTGGGGATAATGGGGACATGCATCAAATCTTAGTGATCCAAATAAGTAAAATGCACCAGAGAAGGTCTATCTATAAAGGAAAGCCGATGATTCTTTTTTGTTTGTTTTTGTTTTTTTTCAAAGTATTTATTTATTTGACAGAGAGAGATCACAAGTAGGCAGGGGTGGGGGGAAGCAGGCTCCCCACCGAGCAGAGAGCCCAATGCCGGGCTCGATTCCAGGACCCTGAGACCATGACCCGAGCCGAAGGCAGAGGCTTAACCCACTGAGTCACCCAGGCGCCCCTGTGATGTTTCTTCAAAGGTGAATGCTTTGGGTTAAATGATAAAGCCCCTTGCAACTCAAATGTTGGCTTCCAGATTCCAGTTTGGTGGACTGGGCTATGCATGAATGGTAGCAGCCTGGGATGGTGCAGACAGGAGGCTGCCGGTGGGGTGGGCATGGGACTGGGTCCTCTCTTTTCAGCGTTCCCCTTTGGTGCCCCCCACCCCTATTGCCACTTGGGTTTCTGACTCCTCCAGGACTGAGAAGAGCAGGGAAGAAGGAGAGGGAAGGGAGCAAGGGGGCCCTCCCTGATGCATGTGCCTTTTGGGATAGGCCTCAGGCTCTCCGGGCCTAAGAGAACTCTGTTGGGTCCTTCCTGGGTTCACTGGAGACCCTGTCTCCGAGGAGTCCTTCCCCTCTTGTCCCCAGCTCCCCCAAACAGGCTGAACTCTTTCCTACTCTGGCTGGTGGCTTGCCCCGCCCATCCTGGGAAGTGCCCTACCTTCTCTCTGCTGCCGTCTGTTTTGGAGAGCTCCTCAGATGACCCCATGCCAGTCTCCTCTCAGAGCGCCACAGCTGGTCCATTGGAAGCATCTGGGGCTTCCTTGTCCCCAGAATTACAAGGCCACAGCTGCTCTGTTTTTCCTCTGCAGCCAGGGCCCCCCCAGCCAGCCCATATAGCTCATGTTTTTGATTTTTCAAGCTGGGATCAGGTTTCCAAGCCTCCCTCTCTGAGGGACCCACTGTACCACTCTCCCTGGGGGTTAGGTGAGAGGCAGGCCATTAGCCCCATGGGAGGGGGAGCTAGACTCACCCTGTGCTAAAAGCTCTTTCCAAAAACCTTCACAAATTCTCTCTAGCCCCTGACCTTTTCCTCTGTGGGACAGGTTTTATAGGCCCCTCGCTGGTTTTCTACTCCCTCCCTGCAGTGTTTGCTTGGTCTGGAACCCTTTGGATCTGAGATCTGTCTCGAGGCCTTGACAGAGTCTTTTTCAGAGGAAAACACTTAACACTATGCTGAGCATCTCATTAAGCGCAGTAAATGTGGGGAAAACAAGCCCAATCCCTTCTGGTCCTATTGTCCACATCAACAAAGTGGCCAGAGGAAAACAAAAGAGTACTCATTGATGTAACTCCCTCCTGTGGTTGCATTTCTTTGTTGAGGTCTGTCCTTGTCTCCTGTCCAGTTGTTAGGGGACAAAGCCATTCCGAAGGCTAGAAGAAAAGTGTGGGGACCCGTCATGGGTGCTGCCTTCCCTGTCCATGACTGATTCTAGAGCACAAAGCGGGGGCCCAAGTCCCCACCCCACATCACAGTGGCTGCATGTCTGGCCATGGAAACAGAAAACCACAAGCCTGCGAGAATTGTCTTTGACCGGCGTTCCATCAGCACACTCTTCCTGCTCATTTGGGCTCTGACGCTAGACTGCTTGAGTTGGAATCCCAGCTGTTAACTCTTACACGTGGTCGGAGCCTAGGAAAGTTATTTCCCTGTGCCTCCATTTCCTCATCTGAAAAACTAAACTAAGAACAGAGTCAACCAGTTGGGGCTATTGTGCAGACAATGTACGTAGTAGGCACTTGGCAGGTGCTAGCTGCTGTCTTCTCTCTCCCCGGGCTCACAGGGACTCAAGCCAGCACCTTCATTCAGAGCTCACCTGCTTTTTGGTGGAAGCAAAAGGATACTACTCAAAGCAAGTGATGGTATACGACCAGTGTCTCCTCCTTCCCTGCTAAATCATCAATGTCCTGAAGATGGTCTGCCTTGTTCCTTAGTCCAGTCCCTAGCTATTTCTAGAATATTATATCTACACATCTACATTTACATATCTACATATCTACATTTACATATCTACATATCTACAATATTTTTAGAATATTATATCTACAAATGTTTTTGAGCTGCCCTTATAGATTAGGCCCTTGAGTAGGCTGGAGGCAGAGACCAGAAATGTACCCCCAGGACCCTCAGAGAACTTCCTTAGCTCTCCCAGGAACTTATCCCTTCACAACGTAGGCATAAGGCTTACCAAATGGGGGCTACAGAAAGCGAGGCTGTACTAACAGAAGTGGCCATACTAATAGAAGACCCTTAGGAGCCAGGAACTTTGCAGAGCAATTTAGATGCTCCATCTAGTCGGAAGCCCACAACAGTGCTTTGAGGTAGGGTGTGGATTTGCTAGGCTTCCTATCACACACTACCACAGACTGAGTAGCTTAAACAACAGAAAGGTGTCCCCTCCCCATTCTGCAGTCCAAGATCAAGGTGCAGGCAAGATTAAGTTCTTCTGAGGCCTTTCTCCTTTGCTTGTAGAAGGCCACCCTCTTGCTGTGCCTCACATGGCCTTTCCCTGGAGACCTTACCCCTTGGTCTCTTCCTCTTGTAAAAACACCTGTCAGGTTGGATTCGGGCTGACCCCAACAGCCTCATTTTAATTTAATCATCTCTCTGAAGGCCCATCTCCAAATTGAGTCATATTCTGAAATACTGGGGGGAGGTTATGGCATCAACATACGAATCAGGGGAGACACAGTTCAGCCCATAACAGGTAGATACTGTTTGGGGGTTATTATCCCCATATACAGATGCAGAAACTGAAGCAGGAGAGCTCAAGTGCCAAAGGCAAGGTCATGCGACCTGCAGGTGGCAGAATCGGTTAGAATCCCAGCTCCCGCGAATCCAGGACAGGTCCTGCTTTGTAGAGGGGAATGCAGGGCTGGGGTGGGGTGCACAGGTGCAGGGGAGAGGAACAGGTGCCGGA